ATATACAAAATGCCAAATAATAGTAAAAAACAACAAACAATTGTTTTGTATTGTTTCAGATCTACGAATTGATTTCTGGTGGTCTAATGGTTACCATTGTTTTCGATACTCCTCTCTGGTCTGTAGTCATGGATTCAACGCAAAGCAACCTATGGGTTGGCGGACACGACTCCAACATTTATGAGACTAAACTTTATGGAAAGCCATCCAATTCTCTACTCAAACAAATTAAACCCCAATTTGTTGGACACGAGTCAGTCATTCATATAATATTAAATTGACTTTAAATCATGTTTTAATTTAAATATTGTTTAAAATCAGATCCGCTGTCACTTGTCTGGCCGTATCTATTGATGGAATGGCTTTAATCTCGGGTTCAAATGATAAAACAATAAAGATTTGGCACATAAATAGCAAGCAATGCATGAAAACCATTACTAATAAAGGTATGATTGATAATTCAATGGAGCGAAACAATCAAATTAATGATAATATTATGGCCGCGGTTTAGGTCCCATTTCCAATCTACTCCTATACCCCTTTCCCTCCGCACTGTTCGACCAAAAACCGCCAAATATTGTGATAAAGCCATTCAAAAGGACAATAATTAATGACTTGTATAGTGGCGATCCGGACAACCAGTATTGCATTGAAATAATTAACGATAAGTGCCTAACAAATAGCCTCTCGTTTATGAAAGGTCTAGATGTGAGGGAAGATATAAGCGCTCCGAACGTAAGCACCGATCGATTATTCAAATTTTATTCTCTCTATAAATACATTGTTTTTTATGGAAAATTTAATGTCAAAAACAATGAAATTTTATTTACAAATTAATTACAGGTTTTTGACGATATTTCACCCAATGATGAGAACGAAGACATTNATATTAAAAGCACAGAAAGAGATCGAAAGTGAGACACAGATGGCTATCGAAGACTTGACCACATTTGCCATCGAATACAGAGAATTAATAAATAATGAGACAAACAATGAAACCCTGAATATAATTGACGGCTATTTGACATTAAATGATAGTTCGTTTATGTTTAACGAAACCGATCTGAAGACGCCTTTCATCATAACATCAAATGTCACCACAAATGGCTCAATGGTGTCAATCAATGTCGAAACGCCTGATTATACGAATGGCACTGAAATTGACTTATTTGTGAACACATCGACACCAATAAGTCTTAATTACTCGACGACACCCTTTGAGACAAACGATACAGAATTGACAGAAATGCCAGACTATGAGACCCTATCCACTGAAGTGACACAACATTTGAATGAATCGCCGTTTCATAACTCGACCATCACTGGCATCGGTTCCGTAACACAGAGTTCTGTCGACTTAAATAACGGACTCAACGAAGAGTCTGAGAAATGTGTTTTCGAGAAACAAATTCTATGCAAAAACATTCAACTAATGTGTTTCGGTTCGGGAGAAGTGGACTGCGGGTCAAAAGCCAGGAACAGGAGAAACACTATAAGTGCGGACACAATAGTGAACCGCACTCTCGATGACAACGACTCTAGTTTTCAAGTGTCTAAACAATATCTCGAGAAACAGCCCCTAAGCGAGAGAATCGAGAATATAAAGTGTGTTTTGACAGCTCATCATAACTCCTACTTTGCGTGCAATCCTTTGCCCACAATTAATGACTGCAACGGAAAGAGTGACTGCAAACCAATGGATCAACATAACAGCGGATCCGAAGATACATTACCCGTTTGGAAAGTAGGTCTCATCGCAGCCCTGACCGCAATCGGCGCCGTCTGTTTCATTGTTGTCGCAGTCGTCGCATACGTTTCGTATGTATTTTTAATGAGAACTTTTAATTAAAAATACTCTCAAAAATGTTTATTTTGTATTCATTAACAATTCTTATAAATATTTCATTAATAGCTATAATAAACTCAAAATACGACCGGAACTATCAGCTAATGGCTATCATAACAACCCTGAAAACGTAACCCGAGTTTAACATCGCTTTTAATAACTTTTTGTGGTTAACAATCAATTGGTGAAAGTGTTAACGAACTCAATGTACTACTAATGTTGGTCTCTATATATGAATGGAAATTAAGTGAACGCCTCAATAAACAGCTGCTTAAGCGCAATGAGTGCCCAGACCTGAGGCGCTCAGGGAATTGATTTGAATACGGCGTCCACTGAATAGTTATATAACTGAGAATTAATTTCCTTTAATTCGCATAATTCTCTCCTAATGTCTTCGTTCTCATCATTGGGTGAAATATCGTCAAAAACCTGTAATTAATTTGTAAATAAAATTTCATTGTTTTTGACATTAAATTTTCCATAAAAAACAATGTATTTATAGAGAGAATAAAATTTGAATAATCGATCGGTGCTTACGTTCGGAGCGCTTATATCTTCCCTCATATCTAGACCTTTCATAAACGAGAGGCTATTTGTTAGGCACTTATCGTTAATTATTTCAATGCAATACTGGTTGTCCGGATCGCCACTATACAAGTCATTAATTATTGTCCTTTTGAATGGCTTTATCACAATATTTGGCGGTTTTTGGTCGAACAGTGCGGAGGGAAAGGGGTATAGGAGTAGATTGGAAATGGGACCTAAACCGCGGCCATAATATACAAGTCATTAATTATTGTCCTTTTGAATGGCTTTATCACAATATTTGGCGGTTTTTGGTCGAACAGTGCGGAGGGAAAGGGGTATAGGAGTAGATTGGAAATGGGACCTAAACCGCGGCCATAATATCATTAATTTGATTGTTTCGCTCCATTGTATTATCAATCATACCTTTATTAGTAATGGTTTTCATGCATTGCTTGCTATTTATGTGCCAAATCTTAATTGTTTTATCATTTGAACCCGAGATTAAAGCCATTCCATCTATAGATACGGTCAGACAAGTGACAGCGGATCTGATTTTAAACAATATTTAAATTAAAACATGATTTAAAGTCAATTTAATATTATATGAATGACTGACTCGTGTCCAACAAATTGGGGTTTAATTTGTTTGAGCAAAGAATTGGATGGCTTTCCATAAAGTTTAGTCTCATAAATGTTGGAGTCGTGTCCGCCAACCCATAGGTTGCTTTGCGTTGAATCCATGACTACAGACCAGAGAGGAGTATCGAAAACAATGGTAACCATTAGANAGAATTGGATGGCTTTCCATAAAGTTTAGTCTCATAAATGTTGGAGTCGTGTCCGCCAACCCATAGGTTGCTTTGCGTTGAATCCATGACTACAGACCAGAGAGGAGTATCGAAAACAATGGTAACCATTAGACCACCAGAAATCAATTCGTAGATCTGAAACAATACAAAACAATTGTTTGTTGTTTTTTACTATTATTTGGCATTTTGTATATAAAAAAAATTTGATATCAATTATGCATTTGAAATGAATGAATGGATGGCGTGAATGGCATACCCGACACGTTTGGTCAGTAGAGCACGTCATACAATAGGCTTCAATGCCTCCCAACCCTATGTGCACATCAGTGATGGCATTCGTGTGATCCGACCACTTATGGATCGGATCCCGAAGTGTCGAAATACCCGACACGTTTGGTCAGTAGAGCACGTCATACAATAGGCTTCAATGCCTCCCAACCCTATGTGCACATCAGTGATGGCATTCGTGTGATCCGACCACTTATGGATCGGATCCCGAAGTGTCGACTCAGTGTCCGTCACGTCAAACTCGTTGTAACCGACGCTCACACCCAATGACCAGACAAACGCCAACCCGTCGTCACCGGCGGTCACGATATACGAGTCATCGCTGGTCACAGCTATGCACGTAATCTTCTGGTAGTGTTTCTCCAAAATGGCCAACAATTCGCCCGAAGATGTCTGCCATACAAAACACATGCAAACCATTAATCACTATATAATTGTCTCTACAATTGTATGAATGTCTGCAATACCTGCCAAATGTAAAGACTGGTATTGATGGCCACCAAACAGTATTTGCCGTCATTGGTGGTCTTCAAAGCCGTCACTTTATTGGGACAAATGATCTTCAGATGCAACTGATCCTTGCGTTCAAAGGACCAGACATTGACAACCGGAGAGTCTTTGACGGAACTGATGATCAGCTGATCCTTGACTAAGTCGAGGCAATGGCGGTCAACACATCCGACACTTTTAAAAGTGGTTAAAGTATTGCCGGAAACCAAATCCCAGACACAGACTGAGTGGAGCTCTGCGTTCAGATCACTGCTGAGGACCACCTGATGGACAACAAGTCATTCAAATCATGTCTTAATGGCATTCAATTCACGTTTACCTGACTTTTGACTGCCATTTCGGCCAATGCTTTCGTAANTATTATGCCGCACGACTCCAATGGCTTGGATCTAATGTTAACGAGAATGAGTGCACAAATGCTTAGCGATGTTATCAGTGGTCTCGATGTCAAAAGAGTCTCTTTAAAAGTAAGTGTATTTTCTTTTATTTTTTGCTCAATTTGTGTTTAGATATAAAAGTTGTATAAATTGTCATTTTTTCTCAATGTATACCACTTTAATATCTCTTATGTGTGGATAATGTGAATTCTTTAATATGAATTGACAATAACATAACAATAAAACATTATTTTAACATTTATTGGAAAATATCTAAAATATCTAAATATTTTAACACTAGTTTTTTATTATTTTCAGTAAATGTTACTTATGTCTAGACTTTTTGTTACTTTTGACAACAAAATATATCTATTATTCGGTTTTAAATCATTAAATTAATTCTGAATTACATTTATGTTTTAGAATTTTCTGTATAATAGCTTTGAAAATATCCAATACTTTAGTTTATGATTAGAATCTTCACTCTTTTTACAGGATTTTGAATGACATTTGTTTTATGGGAATAACCATTGATTTTATACTATTATCTTATTTATATGACATTTTTAAATCATTAATTCTGTGACTTTGACTTCAATTTGTGGCGAAATTTTATTTATCGGAAAAATAATCAATTTTATCAGAAAATACAAAAAATAATTTTGTGAAATCCATAGAAAATGTATAAAATGTACAATAAATTAATGTAAAGTATATTTGATGTCCAAAATAGATGCCTAAATTGAGTTTCGAGAAAAGTAACCGCAATCTATCAAGGGCATTCGCTAATATGGGTCTCTCGGATTTATATAAACCCGGATTCGCTAATCTCTATCACATCTCCGATTATAAATGGCTTCACGTCTCGGATATTATGCACAAGACTTATATCGACATCAAAGAAGTGACGAATAATAGCAATAATATAAGTATTAATAACAAGAATAATCAAAACAAGAACAACAATAACAATGAGAAACAGAACTCGGATGTGACTTATGTTGAGATCGATAAACCATTTGTTTACTTCATTCTCGATAATGTGAGTGGACTTATACTAGTAATGGGCAAAGTTGGTCGCGAACCCGCCAACTATAGGCTTCCTGTTTAAGACTCCACTGCCTATCGCTATATATCTGTTGGAAAACATTAATTCTTCGGTGGATATCAAATGATATGTCGAAACTTTTTTCAAAAAATAAAGTTTGGATTTAATGCACAATTATTTCTAAAATAAAATCTGCACTTAACTTATATTTAATACACATATTTGTATATTTTTTAATAATATTGTAATAAAATAAAGTTTTAGATTTCTTTAAAAATCGTGACAAACATTTTTTAAACCTTAAAATTTTTAAACATTTTCCCGACAATAATATTGTTATTCTGTTTGAAGCCATAAAAATATTTCCGTTTATAAGACTTTTGTGACAACTTTTGTGATCAACAAATCAATAAAATTATAATTTAAAGCTCAGAAAATGTAATTTTGTATAAATTACAAATAATTGCCTGTAATTATAGTCTTCATTGATAGTTATATTAAACCTATTATTTATGTGTATTTCTAGCCCCAAAAAGCATACAATAAGAGTATAAACAACAATATTCTGTAATATCGTTGCAATCGATAACTGCAATCACTATAACAAGAATCTCATAGAGAATCGTAACGTTTGTACGGTTTGTATGCAATGAATGCCATCTCTAGTGAGAGTCTAGAAGTGGTGCAAAAGGTCTGCATTTGAATCGGTGTTCAGGCGTTCAACACATTGTGTTGACGAAAGCATTGGCCGAAATGGCAGTCAAAAGTCAGGTAAACGTGTATTGAATGCCATTAAGACATGATTTGAATGACTTGTTGTCCATCAGGTGGTCCTCAGCAGTGATCTGAACGCAGAGCTCCACTCAGTCTGTGTCTGGGATTTGGTTTCCGGCAATACTTTAACCACTTTTAAAAGTGTCGGATGTGTTGACCGCCATTGCCTCGACTTAGTCAAGGATCAGCTGATCATCAGTTCCGTCAAAGACTCTCCGGTTGTCAATGTCTGGTCCTTTGAACGCAAGGATCAGTTGCATCTGAAGATCATTTGTCCCAATAAAGTGACGGCTTTGAAGACCACCAATGA